CAGGCAAGAGGCAGTGGAGGAAGGAACTTTTCCCACTGTGGAACTTTTTCCTACCACAAGAAAAGACTGGCAGAGGAAAAAGGCTCTGTCAGCTCCCCACTACTGAGTTCTTCCACTGCCACGGAGAGAGGTTCCAGCAGTAAGGAATGGCTCTATCAACTTTGGATGCAGTGTGGACACAGTCTGCTTTTCACTGCAGCATGGAGCTACACATACACTACACAGCACTTCTGGTAGAGAGTAATGTAGATGTAGCCTTGATGTCTTTGAACTAAGACTAGATGCTTTTCTGGGAGATGTATGTTATCCATACACAAGATACTACGTTTACTACAGGAGTTACTAGGTGAAATATAATGGCCTGTGATATACAAGAGTTCAGATTAGATGATCTAAAATATTTCTGGTCTAAACATCTAAATGAACCTTATAACTGTCTAATCCACTTTATATTGATTTTTGCAATCACAGTAGCACCACTAATAATAATAGCTAGAAACGCTAGTTGGGGTTTTCAAAGACTCTGAGGGATTCAGGTATCCTACTTCCATTGAAATTTAGTAGGATTTGGATACATAATTCCCTAGGCAAATCCCAAACTCCAGTGTTATAAAACAAACATTAATAAAAATCTTTCTGAAATAGGATTAGATCGGCATCATGTATGGACTAATTCTGCATCACATTTCAGAGCTTCAGAAAGACTGCATTCAGTAGCGATCTTGATCTCAGGTTTGAAATGGTACTAAATTTGTGCAGAAATTCTAGATGGTAATGAAAAATGTCAACATTAGAGCTTGTGGAAAAAGACTTATTTTACTAATGAAAATTTCAATAACATTCAAAACAATAATTCTGGCAAAATCTTCCACCAAAAATTTACTTTTAAAAAAATATCTCAATCTGAAAATTTATGGCTGAAAATTGACAATATTGGTTTAAAACGTGTTTTAAAACTGTACATTGCTATGGAAAATGCAATTATGACCATTTACACCTGCTGATAATCTGTCCCTAAGGTTGTTATAATGTTCCAAATTAGGCAAAAACGATGTTCTAATCTCGGAGGGAGGGAGGGGGAGGCAGGAAGGGTGTTATTTAAGTTTCCAACTATTCCACTTTTCAAGGCTTTTTATTACTAACCTATCTATGGTTTCTGCAGTATGACTTGCTGAAATAATATGGTTGCTCAGTGTTTTCTTCCAGGTAATAAGACAATAAATATTTAAGTTGCTAAATCCATGAAATCGTAATTTAATTTAAAATGAAGTTGTCCCCCTTTTACATCATGTTCTAACATAGTAAATCTTCATTTTATGATAATGGCTCTTAATGACCTACTCCATTTCTTGTTTTTAATATCTATTCAACCTGGTACCAAGAAAAAGGAAATCAGATCAAACCCTCATTTTATTCTGAAACTATTTTGATAGAAAAGCAGTAATAAAGCATCTAGTCATCTTTAGATAGGTTATGTTTACACTGCCCCCTCTTGCACAAAAAATATGCAAATGAGGCAAAGCATGGCATATCACTGCACCTCATTTGCATACGTAATGAGGCTGCATTTTTGTGCAAGAGCCTTTTGCGCAAAAAGGAGCTGTGTAGATGGCTCCTTTTTGCACAAAACCCCTCTCTTGCACAAGAGTCGTTCTTCCTCATTTTTTTCAGAATGGCTCTTGAGCAAGAGTGGGTTTTTGCGCAAAAAGGAGCAGTCTATACAGCTCCTTTTTGCACAAAAGCCTTCTGTGCAAAAACGGCTAATTAATTATGCAAATGAAGCATGGCTATATTCTACTCCGTGCTTCATTTGCAAAAGCTTTTGTGGAAGAAGGCTGTAGTATAGATGTAGCCTTGGTCTGAGCCAGTATGACCATTCTTCTCCTCACTTGCATATTGCAAGAGAGGGCAGTAGACATAGCCCTAGTGTTTAATGACTGATGCATTGGCTCAGCTATGGTGTGCTTCAGAGCTCTTTGAATTAATGGGATTTTTTTATAGAGTTTGTTTACTTTAAGGATTTTAAGGCTGCCTTTCACCACAGTAAGTACCTTCATGTAAAATAAGTAACAATAGCAAAGTCCATAGAGGATCACCTCTCTTTACATACTAAAAACTCTTCTTAGCCATGTATAAAAGGTTGTGCACATATATGTAAAAATTCCTTTGTGATCCCTCTGGCTATCAATTAATACTCTGGAGCATGAGACTTATTTTTATTTTAGCCTACATATATAATAGATGTTATTGCTGGTTATAAAATGTTACAGCCACAGAATCTGATTAAATTTTCTTTCACTTATAATTAAGGCTATGACATGGTTATTTAAGATTTCTCTGAGCAAATTATTTGCAATATTACATTAAAAGATGTTAATGTTATTTAGGTTATTATTAAGGTTACAAAATCAAGAACTCAAAAATTAGAAAATGGTAGAATTAAGGTTGCCTATCTAGTGCCCTGACTTCTTCTTAACAGGTAGGACTTCCTCTCATTTTAAATACATGGATGTTTGATAAAAAGAACTTTTGCCTGATTTAATCAACCACTTTTTCAGTTCTATGAAAATGTCATTACAAAATTTCCAAGAAATTTCATGAACAAGATCAAGAATTGCATTCTGATGTAATAAGCCTAAATTAGAAATTAATTAATATAAACAAATAGAAGTAGTTGCATACCAAGGCTGTTACCCACTCTGGCACTTTGAATGCAGAAGGAGGGGGCCAGTAAGAGACCTTAAAATACCCTACCACTAAAGGCTTCTGCTTAAAAAACTTTCTAAGGTCACAGATTTCCTAAAATTGGGTGGTATGCTGCTATCACCCAAATGCAAAAGCCCCTGGAAAGCCCAAGAAGATGCACTTGGGATTTTCTTCCTGTGGGGTAACCCCAAACTCTTTAACCGTTTCTCAGGAGAGAGCTTGAAAACAAGATGTAATTTCTTAATAGCTGACTTTCAGTCTCAGGCACATGCACATAGACCCTCCTGCCTTCTAGGACACAGGAATCAAGGAATCATATCATATTTTTATGAACAAAACAAAAAAGATGTAGTTGGTAAAGTATACTTTGTTGCTAGGTGTTAAAGAACAACTGAAAAAAGGTAGACTAAAACAGAGAATTACTTCCCTGGGATTCAGTACAGAGGAGAGCACAAGTCAGAAAATAACCTGATTGCATCTAACTAAACATTCCCTGTGCAGTTACATATCCTTTGTTCCAAGGTTCAGTCCTTTCTAGACTTTGATATTTGTGGGATATCCCCTCCGTTCTCTTGCCCTGAATGTCCACAAAGACTGAAGCAAACAGAACCTGTTTTGATTCAAAGCCCTCACTCTGTTCCCATTGGCTCTCCGGGCACCCTGCCAACAGTTCCTGGATATCCATTTTTTCTTGATTTAACCCTTTATGGACAATATAATTAACTGAATGCTGGGATGTCTAGAAAAAGGTAGTACCTCTCCCATCCATCACATTGCAACATAAAAAAATAATTGTGCAAAACAATTTGCTGTTTCACTTGTGGAGATAAGTACACTTTGAATAAGCAAACTACAGAATTTGCAGACACAATTTAAGTGCATTTATATTTGAAAGTTTAGCTTTAAGGATGTATTATGCTATTTCTGGACACTGAACATGAACAAGCCAGTCTAAATGTTAAATTCCATAACACTGAACAAATCTTTTCAAATATTTTGTGGAAACATTGTATTTACTTTTTCATTTTTGTTTCCTCCGTTATATAAATTAGATTAGAATTATTTGAAGCAATACAGCCACTGTCAATATGGGATTCTGGTTTCACCAGTCAATTAAAGTCACGTTGTGTGCTGCCAATGTGGTAGTTAAAGCAGCTGGACATTTGCCTTGAAGAGTTCTCCCTGCATGGCGGGGAGGGGGAAACTGATATAAAGTTGTGTAGAGGGGAGGGTGTGTTGGGCTCAGAGTGGAAGCATGACAGAGGGGAAGAAAGATGGTGTAGTGAAGTAATGCTCTGCTGGGTCCATTTCTCCACCAGCATAATGTCTCTGGAGCAGAGGCTTACATCAGTGATATAAATTAAAGCTGTCCCCCTGCTACTTTTACAAATGACAGGTCTGGATGATGAGATCAGGGAGCCTTGACTGGCTCTTATCAGTGTCCCTTTCCTGCTGTGCACAGGCAGATCTCAGTCACCATGGTCAGCAAATTCTCCTGCAAATGAAGCCATGCGAGGGCACTGCTATAGTCAGGAATAGCTCTGTTGAAGTCAATGGAGTTTCACACAGGTGTAAAAGTCTACAGCATGGATCTGATTGCAGGATATGGGCCTATGACTGTGCTGTGCTTGAGCATGTTTACTTGCATATGTATTCATCTACTGTACATTGGTTCTCCCTTGCTTAGGTGTGGTGGTGACCAAAAGTGAACACCTCACCCTAAGTTGATGCTGAGCAAATGTAAGTACAGGAGCAAGTCAAAATCCACTGGCTTAGAAAGGAAGAAGTGTTTAGCATTTGTGGCTGATGCAAGCAGACAGACAAAGGAATCATTTAGACTAATATGTGTCACTACAAAGGCAAGTAGATAATGAATTTTGGGGGGCTTTTTCCACTTCCAGGTTCTATAACTGAGAAATCACCACAACGAGAGGGTACAGGAAATACAGGTAAATATCTCAATGTTCTGAGTTTTTCTAAGCAATGAAAACTAATAAACTTGCAGTATTTGAAACCCTGATCTTTCACAAGTTTGAAATGTCAGAGCATGGGGGTTTTTTTTTTAACATTTTTTAACTTGTCCAGCCTCATCCCTAGAGAATTTGCTACTCTGGGTTAACTGGAAAATAAATTCCCTTCCAAGCCCATTACTCCCCTCCCAGTAAATTGTTGTTACATTTTTATTGCCCCTAATATTCTCTTGTCCTGAATGTCAGCCTGTTCTGTCTGTCTGGTAGAGCCGGCTCCAAGATCTAGGTAACTGGTGCCATTACTTCATCTCCATAGCAACCTGGACGTGACTCATCTCAGGCCTGGCACTTTGTTCTCCCAGTCCTGAGTTCAACTGATGGCTCATATTCATATCCAAAGAGTTGCTGCTATTAAAGATACATCCTCATGTATGCATGCTATAATATTTCATGTTCCTGAGGCAAATTCATATTTAATGTGACTCCACTAACACTGGTGGGAATTATACCATGGATGAAGTTGTGCTCTTGACTTTATTTAAATAAACTACAAAACAATTTTTTTAAAATAGTCATTCTAAAGGCAAATGAAAATATTTGGACAAATTATATTCTCTGTAATGCTGGTATAAATGAACTTCAAAGGAGTTACTCCAGATTTATGCCAGAATAAATAAAATAAAATAAGAAATAAAAATGCCCAATGTAATTTTAGTTGCTTTTTCTTTCACTTGATGCATTTGATGAAGTTAGTTGCAATGCATGAAAACTTATGTCATAATAAAATTGCTAGTCTTTAGGGTGCCACTGGACTCTGTCTTTGCTGAAACAGACTAACATGGCTACCTCTGAAATTCTTCCTTCGTGTGTTTATCAGACAGCCCCTGGGATCCACTGAGCTTTAGGTATCCACAGACTGCCAATATGCTTTCTGTGGGTCATGAATTTCATTCTTGGTTATGAACTATATTTACTGTACCATGTAAAAAAACCTGTCTGGGGCTTGGAAATCTTTGTTTTTATCTGTGAGCCTTTCTTTAGAGAGCTAAGCAGTGGTGAAGATAAAATAAATGAGTCTTCCTGTCTACATTCAACTCTACCAAAACCAGGCATGAAGGGAAATGTTGTGGAACATTGAACCATCCAGCTGTGTTATTTGCTCTTGAGGCCAACCAGCTGTTAGCATTTACCTGGCTAAAGATGTCTGACTCTTTTTTTGTTTTCATACCTTATTGTAGGCACACCTTGAGGTCCTTTTTCTCAATCATGCTGAGAGTGTTTTCAATCAACATTTTTCACATTTTAAGATCTTGTGTAGTCAGTCTTGAAAAGTATCTGTAGTTAATAGCCAACCAACCTCCAAAGTCCTCTAAGCATGAGTGTGAAATTTCCCTCAGAGATGAACTTTTTCATCTGACTTTGATGGGAGAGGGAAGGAGAAAAGCATGACTTCATCTGAGATGAGTTTTGATCTGCTGATACATGAAATAAAAGTGAATTAGCAAATCAAAACCCACCATATATTTTCTGTCAAAAAACCCACAGCACACTCATGGGTATTATCACATGGGAAATGTGCCGTTGTAAGGAGGTGGCAATCTGATTTTACATTCCATAAAACCAATGCTGCAGAATGCCAGAAGCTTAATGATTACTGATGAGGATCTGTATGAGAGTTTGCAAAGCCTAAATGAACAGCATCTATATAATCAGAGGCCATAGATGAACAGAGTGTATGTGTAACGTTGTCTTCTTCATCAAGAGTGTTTGTTTTGATATTACACGGTTACAGTTGACTTGTGCCTTGTTTCTATTCACTAGCACAACTTCGGCACAAAATGCAGATGTCCTGTTTCCCAGAAGGTTCCTGATTCTTCCTTCTCAGTAGCTGAATCCACCCTCTTTTTCTTCTAAGATGTCAATTCCTGGCATTTTGCTTCAAGTAGCATTGTCAAAACAGAACAGATCTAGAGGCCACTCATATAATTATAACAAATGATGTTACAGGAGTTTCAGCTCTGTCTTTGCTTTTACAGTTTATACAGTAGAAATATTGTCCCTTTGACCAGGAATTTCTAGAATAGAATAGAATAGAATAGAATAGAATAGAATAGAATAGAATAGAATAGAATAGAATAGAATAGAATAGAATAGAATAGAATAGAATAGAATAGAATAGAATAGAATAGAATAGAATAGAATAGAATAGAATAGAATAGAATAGAATAGAATAGAATAGAATAGAATAGAATAGAATAGAATAGAATAGAATAGAATAGAATAGAATAGAATAGAATAGAATAGAATAGAATAGAATAGAATAGAATAGAATAGAATAGAATAGAATAGAATAGAATAGAATAGAATAGAATAGAATAGAATAGAATAGAATAGAATAGAATAGAATAGAATAGAATAGAATAGAATAGAATAGAATAGAATAGAATAGAATAGAATAGAATAGAATAGAATAGAATAGAATAGAATAGAATAGAATAGAATAGAATAGAATAGAATAGAATAGAATAGAATAGAATAGAATAGAATAGAATAGAATAGAATAGAATAGCCATACTGTGTCAGACCAAAGGTCCATCTAGCCCATTATAGGATCTCTTTCCTATCATCCATTTCCAGACACATCAGAATAGAATAGCTGGCAGGCCATACAAAGATGGCCAGCAAGATTCCTGTGATATTTCTAAGCCCTACAAGTTCTACTTCTGCTTTGTCTGTTATAAGAATAAAGCACTGCAGGGGCAGACTTTCAGGCCTTTGAAGATGAGGATCTCTACTGAACTGACACTAGTACTCTTAAACTAGGGGGGGAAAAAAACTTCAGGGACATTTCCTGCCTTACTAATGTCTCCATAATCCAGACATTTAATCTCTTTCCCACTTAGGACTAAAAAAAATGTATTTTAGCTGAAGAATGCTGTTATCTGAATCAAGGCCATATCCCCTTCCTCTGATTCTAGCAGGGGGCACGGCAATGTTTTGGATAAGTTAGAGTTGAGTATCAGAGTTGTTTTTAAACATACACCTTCACCATGATCTATAAACACCATGATTTTAGTAAACAAATTACATTGAAACTGCTCTGAATGTATATAGTGGTAATGCCATATTGGTCCTTATTCTGAAGGATTAATTAGTATACATCTTCATTCCAAACTCTAAATATATATGTATTTTCAAAAACAGGTGGATATGAAACAGCAAATACAAAAAGTTACTAGTGTCCCAATGGATTGTTCCTTTTCAAGTTAGGTATACCTCAGCTATGCCTGTTGCTATTCCCCCACTTCTAAGGAGAGACAATCTTTTTCAGGTTATACAGATATCCTCAAATCAAAGATCTGATTCACTAATCACCAATAAGATCCTCTCTCTTCCCATCTTAGCTCTTCTAAAAATATCATGGACTAACTTTTTAAATACCACTTGAACAAAAGTATTCATTAATGGAACAATATTGCCATTAGAATAGTTTTCACTGGCCTGCTCATCTGTATAGTTTCCATAAATAGAGCTGAATTTAGGCAATACCAAATCTAAGAACAAATGATCTATCTAATGAAAATGTAGGTTGGAATCTAATTAGAAAAAATGAACAAACACATGAATTAATTTCTTGGTATTATTTATTATTATCCTCCACCCTTCAATATACGGAGATTTTTCTGAATCAGATAGTTTTGACAATCTTGCTTGAAGTCTTGAATTCATACATGTGTTTGCTCTAAAATGAGCTGATGGCTTCAGTCCCCTTTCCAGATGATATTACAAAAAAAACCACCCACGCCCTTTGGTAAAATTGACAGTAATGTACATTCTTCTAATCCATCTCAATATAATGACCAAATATTGACTTGATAGGGAGAATGAATGACTTGCTCATCTGAAAAGGAAGTCCTTCACAAATTTAGGTTCAAGAGTATTAGCTGGGAAGCTTCCACTGTTGCTGCTTTGCTTTACCTGTTCTGCAAAGAGAGGACTTAAGGATAGCAGCATGACTATCGATTTAGTATTTATCAGCAGTACTATGTTCCCGAGGAGTAAATTATAGTCTTGTATATTGGGAAGGGATAGACTATTTCTTGTTCCCTCGCGTGATATACAGAAAGTTAACAGAGTGGCAGTGTGTGTGATGGGAAAAGAAAGCAGGATGAGGCAGCTAGTGAGTTACTGTAGCAAGGAGGTGGATGGTATAATCCATTTTCACTGATACCTGAAATCATCCTAGTAAAAATAGGTGCATGTCATTATATTCTGTTATAGCTTCTATGCAAAATATTGGGGAACCAATGAGATTGGGATCCAGAAGTGATGAACTGAAAGAATTCTAGCCAAATTCCTGAACCAAGGATATTGCTTCTGGTGAGGCATCATAATGTTGGATATGGGTCTACTTACAAGAAATGCCACCAAGTGGCCAATATGTATTAAGTTATATTGCATACTGTGGCTCTTTTAGTGTATTAAATCATAAAAATAGTCAACCCCTGCAAATAGCTATAAAAAGGTATTTGGGTTGAAAAGATGTACTACAGATTGAATCTTTCTAGTCCGGCACTCTCTGGTCCAGCAACATCTGTGGTCTGGCTTGATTTTAGTTAGCTGGCTGTCCACTTACCATGGGCATGGCCAAGTTTCCTGCAGTCCCATAAAATTTTTTATAGCCACCAGTCCTGGCTCTCAATGTTCTGTGCTGTTATTTAGCTCTAATTTACCCCTAAATGTCTTCTAAGATTCCAGTAGACAATATTGACTTCCCGTGGTTTGGCAAATTCTCTGGTTTTGCACTGGTCAGGTCGCAAGAGTGCTGGATTAGAAACATTCAACCTGAACTGTTTCACAAAGCTTCGCTCATTTGAACTATTTTTTTACAGTGAGATTTTCTGTTTATATGTCTTTCTTGCAATGCTATTGAATAAGTTGAAAATTTAGCCTTCATTGTATTCTTTCCAGTACATTTTATGCCCTCTTCTTTTGCAATGGCCGTTGGTTGTAGAGGACGTGAATGGCTGACTGAAGGATGATAGTAATGCAAATGATTGTCTGGTTCTTTAAACTAAAGATCTTGTTTGTGAAAACAGCTGGCATAGCAAATTAATATTGCCGTGCCAAAAGAAACCTTGATTTTGTTTTAGGTTGTCAGGAGGATTATATCCACTCACTTGCCCAGATTGCTTTTGCTTTCACAGGGCTTACTTTTTTTCTATGCCTATATCAATTCTCTTATATTACATAGTATTTTTTTACCTTGGCAGTGAACGACTCACTGACTGATGTCTTAAAGATCTTGCACCCAGGTCGTTTATATATATAAAAAATAACTTTAAATGCCATGGATTTATAATCTGTAGTTTGTGTGTGCTCTATACATCAACAATACTTATGTTGTTTATTAACCGGCCGGGGCTATGTGCAAATCATTAGCATCAACCATGTATGTACACTTATTTAGTTTACTCTCATAATTGTAGTCTCCTTGCAAATCTTTTCCATTCTGAATTCAGATGATGCTTCAGCTCCTGCGCTGGAGACACAGCCTCAAGGTGATGAGGAAGGTAAGCATCTTTAGGAATGGTAACAGAGTAACACCAAAATGACACATTATATACTGTATACTGGAGCATAACTGTTTCCTTAGGGTACGTCTACACTTGCAGCCTATTTCGGAATAGGGCTGCAAATGTAGGCATTTGGAATTGCAAATCAAGCCCGGGATTTAAATATTCTGCGCTTGATTTGCATCTTCCTGGCCGGGTGCCATTTTTTGAAATTTACAAGCCCGGAATAACTGCCCGCGTCTACACACGGCAGTGAAACGGGCGTTCGAAATAAAGCCCTATTTCGAACTATCTGTTAAACCTCATTGCAGGAGGAATAACAGGTAGTTCGAAATAGGGCTTTATTTATTCACCTATTCCGAAATAGGCTGCAAGTGTAGACATACCCTTAGAATAAAGGCACCCAAATGCTTCAGGATTTAGCACAGTATTGGTGATTTGCCAAGAAGCTGAAAGCTGTCATGCGTGTTTCCAAGCCGGAGTACCGCAATCTTACTTATAAAGTCAGCAAATTGCATAGGGACATCACAGAGACAGAGTAACTATGGAATCCCACAACCCCACTTTCACCATCATTTTTCAGAGTGGAGATTTACTTCAGACTTGAGCGTCTGTTCATATTAAAGTGTAACGGGCTAAATTCAAAAGTTTAAACCAAACCCTGCCCTTATTATGCCCCATACAACCCTGCTGAAGACTGTATTTTTTCATTGTTGCTATAGGCATGGATTTAGCTGTTGCAAAGTGCTGCACTGTATCTTTTTCTTTGTTAGGCATGTACTACAACGTGCTGTCAGCCTTATCTTGTTCCTTGACCACTTAATGTTTGCTTGCTACATTTGTTTTTTATTTAAATTGTAATAATGTAAATATTGTCCTGCTTGATTTTTCTAGATATAGCTTCTCGTTACCCTACATTATGGACCGAACAAGTAAAGAGTAGGCAAAACAAAACCAATAAAAATTCAGGTAAGAATATGTGGTCTTTTTGCTTTGCAAACTTGATTGGAAATAATTTAGTAAGTCATATTCAAAATGCAGTTGTGGAAGTGAAAGTTATTTTAAATACACCAGAGCTTATACTTCCATCTTGCTATCACAACAGTGACCTAAGATTTGTGATATAATATAGAGATTATGCAACATGATTATTATATTTTCCTTTTTCATGTGAAACATTTTGGCTAGATACTCAGCTGGTGTAAATCAGCACAGCTTGTGTGAAACTGCAGGAGGGAGCTGTGACAATCTGAACAATTACAGATCTGGCACATTTTTCTCATCTACATTAATACTTTGTCTCAGAGAGGTAGCCGTGTTAGTCTGTAACTGATAAACAATGAGCAGTCCTATGGAACCTTAAACTAAGCGGGTTTTACTCACAAAAGACCCATGACCTAATAAATGTATTAGCCTCTCAGGTGCCACAGGACTGTTCATTGTTTTTATTAATACTTTGTATATTTTTATGTATCTTGGTAATATATAATAAATATGTACGTAGAAAAGATGCTGTGGGGCTTATGCGTGAGGGAAATCTGGTAGAGAGAGATCTGAATGGGAGCAAATGTGCCATTAGAAATAGCTTTTCAGCTCAGAAAAAAGTGGAAGGACAGATTTCTCAGTTTTTCTTTCTTGTTTTATAAACGTGCCTTTGGCCAAATTATGATAATTTGTGAGTTAATTATCAGGGACCAATTTAATATGGGTTTGATGACATTGATTTGTATTTTATTTTTTAAAGTTTGATCTTTGTTTGCTAGTCTTTATAAATAAGTTTTCAGAAATGTGGAACTTACTTTCTGTGCACATGTTTAATGCTCACAATGAAATCTCTCAAGTCCTGAGAAATCTGCAGCTATGAAGGGCCACAAATTCTACTCCAGTGATAGGATGAGCTGCAGAAAACTCCCCAAATAGAATCTCTTGGAATTGCCTGGTTCTCAGATCTTATGTTTCTACTCTAGTCACTAATTGAGCCGGGGCGGATGATAATTTTGCAGGGCCCAAGGAAACGCCGTGGGGCCCGGGCCGGCACAATTTTGCGCATGCGCCTCGGCAACAGCTGACCAGAAGTAATGTTTCGCGCATGCGCCTTGGCAGCAACCGACCAGAAATAGCGTGTGTGGGGTGCGTGCGTGGGGCCTATTGAAGTGCCCTGCCCTATATCCACCACTGAATTGAGCTCCTGTATCAGATAATGCCATGGGCATGAATAATAGATAATACCAAGAGATATTCACTGGGTACAAAGGGTTTATACAAAACCAAGGCATTGCTAATAAAGCCCCTGATTCAGCAAAACACATAAGAATATGTTTAAGTCCCAATGGAAATTTAAGCATGTACTCTAAACTAAACAAGTTAATGAGCTTTGCTGAATTGGGTAAAAATGGGTATAAGAAGATGAGCAGTTTTCCAAAGAAAGAAGTGTATATTGTAGGCCCCCACAAATCTCTATTTGTCAACTATATGGTTTATTCACAGTATCAAAACAATGCTTTCTCATACTTCCACTGTTGTTCAAAGAGAATATCACAGAACTTAAAAAAGAATAGCCCTACAAAAAAATCTTAGGGGATGTGCTAAGCCAGAGGTGTGCAAACTGGAGGGGCACAGCACATCAAGGGGTTGTAAATGGTTCTCATGGTGGGGGGAGAAGAAACATCAGCCATCTGACCTTTTAAAAAACAAACAAAAGTGCAGGCTGGGTTATTTTCAACAATTAGGTAAGTTTCATAACTATAACAGGCCTATGATGCCTTTAAAATGAATTTTGATTCTCATTAATTTTAAAACCCATTTAATGATTAATAATCGATACTAAAAACATAAACTGGCAATATACATCATAATAGTTGAGCACCCAAAACCCCTTGTGAGAAAGATACTCTAATACTAAACCAAAGGAATGAATAGCCTCATCTGTTTTCCCTCTGCCTTACACTGTGACCTTCAAGGCTGGTGCAAGCACAGCCTAATCAGCAGTGAACAGATTATGGTGGCATAGAAAGTATCAAGCACTGGCTCTAGGACAATCAATATCAAATACACTGTTTATGAACATGTTTGCAGTTTGCTATGTGTTTACTACTTCCTAATAACCTTTACCTAGTCTTATATATTTAATAATATAAGTTTTCATTCCTTCCACCAATTTGTAAACAACACCCCCATGCAACAAACAGTTTCAGACTTCAAATAATAGAGAGAGGGTGCAACAAATTCTGTGAATGATACGGATGGTGTGTGTGTGGGGTGGGAGGATGCAACTGGAAAAGTTTGCACACCATTATTCTAGGCAAATGCTTTCCCTGCTGTTTCTCAATTTAACATCAGCCATAATAAGCAAAATTCTTCTGGAAGTGTAAAAAAACCCCCAAAAAACAAAACAAAAAAGGGTCTCCAGAAGAACTTCATTTTTCTGATATTGGAGACCAATTATATCCAAAGAAAAGACCTACTGAGTTTGGAACTAATTTTAGTGATTCAAAATTCAAACATGAAGAAGTTTGGGAACTCATAAAAGAAAAAGCTGATGAATGCTACGGAATGTTAATGAGAGTCCTTCATTGCTGATGAGATCCAATACATCTAAATTAAAAGGAAATATTTCGGTCCCTGTTTTTTCTTCTTTTACCTGTACAATATGAAACTATTGATTGGGAAGCTTCAAACTTAGAATATTTACAATTAGAATATTTATTAGTTGTGTTAAGTACTGTCATTGTTCCAGCTTCCACCTATATGCAGCACAGCACAGATATGGCATCACAGCAGAATTAGTCTGGGCTACAGATTGTGTGTTGCTCCATGCAAAATATCTTCTAACCTGAATGTAAGGGTGCAGACAAGGCTGTGGGTATAAGATGACACAGGTTTCACTTCGACCTTGGTTGTCTAGCCCTCTCCACAATTCCACCAGGACTTTATTTTCTTGTCTAATTCCTCCCTTCCTCTGCATCGTATTTTAGCCCCAGGCCTGGCTGCCCCATTTCTTCTGGACTTCCATAGCATTTGAATAAAAGTCCTCCAAGAAATCCTTTTCCTGCACTGCCAGCTGGCTGGAAGCTGACATTAGCCTCCTGGAAAAACTGTAGTGCGTTGACATGAGCATTTCTTCAGAGATGTCCTGCAAGGACAGACACATTCTCCCACGATACATTACAAGTTAATTCAACAAGTGGCCCAGTTTAATGCATGACTAAGAATCATGAGATAACCTGTTAGAAATAAATCTCAATGCATGAACCAGCATAGCAGCATTGTGAATGCAGCACATAGGCCTTGCCAAGCTAGGACTTTACAGTGGTGGGACTCCATCCAGACTAAGCGAGCCTAGAATAATTCAACAGTGAATATTTATGCTGCTTTCTTTTTGAGGCTGAGCCTCCAAAACGCCAGTGGTGTGTTTTTTCTCAAACCCCTAGAAATATAGGTTAAACTTCCTCCTCCCTAGCCCCTCCCTCCGTATCAAGCCTACTAACTCCTTGACTGATCTCAAACCATTCAGGTACATCCAGGTAAAATTTGTCTGTATACTACTAAACGTACTGGGTATGGACGCATGATTGATTCCAATGAGGTAAATGAAAAACAAAACAGAACAAAAATCAAATCCTGCACCATAAGACTAAATATAGATCTCTGATAGTCAGTTTGCTGAGCAACTCCTATGTGTCCAAACCAGTTTGCACACACGTGTGCATGCACACATAGACACACACACATACGCTTTACATACAAAATGAGGCGAAACCCAGTTAATCAATAATGGGACATGTTATCCCTTGTTGTACCAGTGTAACTCCAATGGCCTAAATGAGATTGCTTTCTCTGGAGTAAATGAGAGAATAATCTGGCCTTCTATGTAAAAGTTCAACAAAACTGTAATCCAGATGTGGTTCTTCCTCCCCCAGTGTGAGGCTCGCGAAGTCCTTCCCCCCTGCAGCTTGTAAAGCCGCCCTCATGCCCCTGAAAATGGCCCTTTCCTCCCAGCTCCCTATGCTCACTGGGGTAAGGGAGCTGTCCGGCATGGCCATTAAAGATGGAGTATTAAAGATGTCATTGGACGGTGGCCTGATGAGGCCAAAAAGCCTCTAAAAGTGGCAGTCCTTTTTTTTTCTTTCCTCGACAACTTTGTCCTGGCTCTTCGCGCTAGATCCTTTGATATCTTGGCTCTTTGCCCGGAATGGGTTGGCCACCCCTGCTATAATCTATATCAAATACAAAACCCAAAATGTAGTAAAGTCCAAGTTGCTACTTACAGTCTGTATGGCACAGTAGTTTGTGTTGTTTTGTCTCCTTTATATTTTGTATTTACGTATGTATCTTTATTATATCATGGTGGAAGATTCATGGCCATATATAAACTTTCCTTGATGAGAGAATTACTCATAAATGTTGTTGTAACATAAGCATGTGTGATTTTTAAATTATGTGCCCTTCTTCGCAAGATAGTACCAACACTTTTGATGGGTTAAAGACTACAAATGAACACATTGTCTTTATTGTACCTCACCATAACTGGCTTGTAAAACATTTGCTGTTCTGTAAGTGACCTGTCACTTATAATTAACCAATAAAACTAGTATTGGCTTTTAGTAACTGGGGAACTGAAATAATGGTGCAGGAAATTCCAGTTTACACTAGCTACCCCATAACTTGATTTTTAAAAAGTCTAAATGAATTTAACAAAAAAATTGGAAGATTTACAGATGTAAATTCTTGGATTACAAGTCAGCATTGTATAACAGTTTCTGGTATACTTTCAGTTTGTCTTCAGAATTGTCCTGACTTCTTTAACTTTTTTAAAAGTTTGAATGTGATGAAGTTTTATGTGTTTCAAATTTCCTTTGATGGCCTGATAAAAAGACCAAGAAAAAGTCTTTCCATGCATTTTTTCTGCATTTATAAAAGTAATGTTTTGTTCCTATATGAGATTCACCAAAATATGAAAGCTCAGATTC